TAAAAATAATTGAGACACATTTCATTGGAAAAGCAGAGACAAAGACACAGACAGGGCTGCTGAGCTGAGCTGAAACTGCCCCTCTGCTTCCCCTCTCTTCCCACTTAATAACTTCATTGCTTTAAATATGGGAGGCGAGGCTCACACAATGACAACTAATCCTGCTAGGAAACCTACTCGTATTCTGAGGGGATTTGCTTGCTGGACCTGGCACCAAGCACGCAAATGCTTGCAGCGTGGGACCGCACATGCACGTGTACTAATAAACCCCCCGATGGTCCAAGCCCTAACAACGAAGGATCAGCCACAAGAGCTGAACTGCCAGCATTAGCACAGGTATAGCAAGTCAGCAGCAAATGCCACCTTGGTCACACAAACGGTGAGGACACACACGGAACCCCAGCAGAGTACCTTAGCCACATAGCCCGAGAGGGTCAGCATCATTTTGATGCCTCAGTTCAGTTTATTGCACATGTAGGTATGTATTCTAAACACACAAAACTGTGCCAAAAGGGTCATTAAGCACACGGAAAATCATGCTAGGATCATTAAGTCTGCTTAGGCAAATATTCAAAAATATCTATACCACCTTAATTTGACTCACCTTTGAATAAGTCTTTGGTTACAGAGTCTCATTATTTTGTTTTCCACAGGATCACAGTCTCTTTTAGTTCAATGAGAAGTATTTTTTTGCCCCTTCACATTCTACAAGTAGTCCCAAGCCTTATTTAAGGCACACAATCCAATTCCTATGTGGAGTATAGTATTAGGAACCTCCGCACACCTAACATGTGCCCTAATGTTAGATGAGTTCGGTCCTGACAAAATCAGTGGGTCTGCAGAGGAAGATTCAGAGCCCCTATACTAGGAACATACTTTTCTTTGGTGACCATATAGTGAATCCAGACGTGAGCATTCCCCTATGCCTTTGAGATGTGTGTGACACCTCTATCAGATGAGTCCTTCTCAGATGTCACTGACAAACTACAAAGAAGAGCACGGCATTTCAAACAGAGTTGATCTTTGCAGCCCTGCTGTAACGCATGGATAACAACGCGTATTACAGATTTAAGAACAGGTTGACAAGATGAAAACAAGAGCTCCAGCAGTTTCAGGTGCTTAGCACATGCACCTGACCCCTGGTGTGGCAGAGCCCTCATTGTATATCAAACAAGCAAAGCTTCTAACGGCTTAAGCTACATCCCGGCGCAATTAACATTTCTGCACATCCCAATCAGGCAACTCATTGGGATGAGTTGGGCACCAAATGACAGAAATGCACAAGTGACCTCCCGCAAAAAAGCTGGCATGGCCAGCTGCTTCAAGTCAGGAGAGAATTGCACTCCACTGTGCCTTCTCCGGAGTTTCCACATAAGGCCACTCTTCCTCTCTAGCTATATGAAGCAGGGGCCCTGCAGAGAAGAGTTTCACTGCACTACACTGATTCAGAGAATAAATCTGCACAGGGCATGAGGCAAGGATTGGGTGAAGACAGGATGATATGTAAGATGCATTGCAGATACATGATAGGACTGAAGCTGCAGTTCCAAATCACAGCAGCGGAGCTTAGCTTTTGAGGATCTGATTTTATACCTACAGTCTGGATTTATAATGTACCTCCTTATTTAAAAATAATTTTTAAAAAAAGGTCTTCTAACATCTGGACTTTTATCAACGCTAAAACATGCACCAGCAGCTGCATTTAAACCCTTATGCCTGCAGTCCAGCTCTCTACCAAAAATAATTGCTAGCAATAGCAGGCTGTTGCGACGCATGCAACTTACACTCACCCAATGGGTTTGACACATTTTCTCTGCAGTACAGTAACACAGAGACTTGGGTCTCTGAGGCTCAGTTCCAGATTTTGGAGAAACACAGCCAGTGGGCACAGTGTGTGCGCCTGTAATCCATTTCTTTCCTCTCCAAATGCCCCTGCTCCTCATGCTTGTATCCCACTTTCTCCACCACCTGCTCTTCCTATAGCTATCCCAGCTGCCTACACTCCAAGTCCTCCTTCACCTTCTTATTTCCCCTCCTCAGAGCTTCTCCTGAGCTCTTGCTTTATATTTTCTTCCAGCTCCTCCTCACCCTGTTTTTAGCCCTCTGAATTTGAATGTGTTGTTTCTCCCCATCTCCTTTCATGTTCCAGGTTCATCCAAGGGAGCAGACCAGGCTGCTCGCTGCCTTTAGTGGCTGTGCTCTTCAGCACGGAGGCCAGATTATGAAAAACTTCGCAGCTTCCTAGCGGGTTTTATGCAATTATTAGATGCCATAAGCTTTTATAAATTATATTCAAGTGTATTTTGCAACTATCCTGTATGTTCAGACTGCTCTGAAATTTAAAAGATAATTATGCAGAGGTGCAGAACTGGCAAAAAAGAGTAGCACCTAGATGTAAGTGATTGGGCCAAGGCTGATCCACCTTACACACACTGAGCTAAGTCTCCCTCGCATTCTACAAAGACTACTAGATATTCAGCCCAAGTGCAGCAGTCCAACAACAAAGCTTTCCACATGCCGATTTCATTATCAGGTAAAATTCTGTACAACAATCCGCTGTGATGAAGGGTTAACTTCCGTACATGCTAATTGCATTTGAGGGCACCTACGTACATTATTTGTAAGCTTTATTTTTGGCATCTCAAAACGAATCTGTCAAGCTAATGATATTCTGAGAAGGTCTTAACATTTCAAGTGCTGTGGGAAGTACAGCACTGCTAACACCTGCAGCAGGTGGTAATGCTCCCGATAAGTCAGCGCTGAAACGACTGAGCATCAGAGTGCAGTCTTTTGGATAATACAAGCAGAGTCCAGCTCTTCTTAGCAGTCATTCAGGGGCCTGCAGCTCGCTTCACAGCGGGAGTTTTGGACGTTGCTTCATGGCCATGTTCCAACTCAGGCAATTGCATCTGAACCGAGTTGTCCTCTGCTGCTTCTGTTGGATGGTCACATAAGCGCCTCACTATTAAATGACACTAGTTCTCAAGTGAATGTGATACAGATTGACATGTCTGATGACAATGCACAGCAACACGTATGTGCAAAAAGTATCAATTACCATCCTGCTCATAAACCCACTAGCAAGATTAAACTAGATAAGGCACGCCGTGTCAATGGAAACAGCATGGAAGGACAACCCCCACGCAGCTGAATCTGCCAGACAAAACTTTCTGCATAAGAACAAAGCTGCCTGTACAAGACAGGAGGAGAGAGGTAGAGGAGCTTGTCTGTCCATCCCACAATCAACAAGAAAGAAGGGGGGTTAAGCAAAAGAAAAAAAAAAAAGACAAAAAAAAAGACAAAAAGCAATGCTATGTTTTAAGGCAAGCAGCATCCACCTCAAAAGGCTGAATTTAGATGGAAAATTTATGTCTTTCAGCAGTGTGAAGGTCTGTCGGATGCAATTTTTTTTTTTTTGGGGGGGGCAGAAAGAACATAAAAACCCCATAAACACACTCTAGGTAGTACCAGGTTTCACAAAGTTTCAGATTGGTACATCAGTCACAACAGAAATCTCCTTTTCTCGCTGCCATTTCTTCCCCCTCCCCCATCTACGGTGGGCCACCAGTACTGCACTTGGAGACTGGAAGACAAATGGGCAGCTGCCTCTAGAGGCAATTGTGAGGAGACTAAAGATCAACTTGCAGCTGGCACTTCCACCCCCACCTCTCCTTAATACTTCAGTCCACTTGCTGCCAGACAAGGATCATGAGTCAGCTCCTAAACATATTCTCCTTGAAACAATAGCTATAGCTCTCTGCTGCAGCTATACCACTACTCCGGCTCCAAGGGACACGCCACAGCTATGAAAACAAAAGGACCCATTTTAACCTACAGCAGCCCAACACCAGAACTGAATGATATAATAAGCACGCACTAGAGAATACTATGCTAAACTTGTGAGATTAGCAAAGCTAATTTTGACATGTAACAGGCATCAAGTCACTACTGTAATGAAAATCTGCAGAAGAAGCAAATAGAAGTGTTTTTGGGGCTACATGGTAAAGCAGATGGCTTTTGCACAAATCTTTTCAGCTACAACAGGGTGCAGTTTGATACCATAGCATTGTACGCTGCAGTACTAATTAGAGGGCAAAGGAGCCAATTTAGCCTTTACAAATTAACTTTATCACAACTGTAGGAGCTGCACTCTCAATTCTGAGTAGCCACCACTCACTGAAACTCCTGCGTTCACAAAGGTGGAACTCCAGCGCTCATCTCTCGAGGACATTTCAAGAAGGAAGGGCATTTGCAAGGGCAATATTTCGGCTTACCAGCTGAGGACATCACACTCAAACTTTAACTTTTCTGACCCAAGTGCTGTCAGACGATAAAGAATTCAAAGAAAAGGTAAGATAATGCATTGGAGATTTCTCAGAACTGTATGCTAAGTGATGAACTGGTGGTGACTACTGAGCACTTAAAGAGCTGTGCACATAGTAAAGGTTAGACATGGGCAAGTCGGTGCCCATGCAAAGCACCCTCAAGAAATATCAGCACCCAGAGCATGCCTTACCTGCAGACAGTCCACTGATATCCTCTGAAGAGATATTGCTGAAAGAGCTACAGTGCAAGCTAACATGTTAGGAAACCTAAGCAAACGCCAAGTTTACGTTTTTATTTCTAGCTAAGAAATAGGCGAAACCAATTGTCCTTTCTCACTTCAGCATAATTTGTATTTCTTACAGCTGAGGATTGCCAATTACTTTGAAGAAGTCTCTAACCCAAAATACTGACATGTCTTGAGGCACACTGCCCTACAAGTCAGAAGACAAGTTGGAGACAGAAATAAAAGTACATCACAACACGTTCAAAGAGACGGGACAATTAAAGAAAAGTCTGCTTCTCTTTCTGCAGGACCCCGACAGGTGTGTTTTGTGGGACTGCGCAATACAAATTAGAAGGTTCTACTGTTAATGCAGTGAATCGATTTTACCGTCCACAGAAACATGAATAATCTATACATTCTGTATAAAAAGATAGCAGACTATATACAAATGTATCTTTTAAATTATTTTATTTTGTGTAAGCTAAAAGGAAATTTACACACTTAAATCTCAAAAGACCTTGGGCATGCACATTGACCTTTTTTAGAGGTTCTTCTACATAGCTCTCTTTTTTCCATAGGAATTTCCCCAGACATTTACAACCCATAGTTTTTTACTGTATATACAGCCTAAAACCATAGCAATCTATGATTATGTCATTTTACACTGTGCAAAATCAAACAGGAATAGTGGTACAACAGAACATAAAAAATTTTAACAGGTAAATTTCATTGTAAGACATTCATATAGTTTTGGTCCTTCTTTTCCAAATCAAACTGATTAAAAGCAGACAACCTTCTAATGACCCAAAAAAAAAAAAAAAAAAAATCAACTGTTTAGACAGTGATCCATAACTGGAACAAGAAATTACTGACAGCATACCTTTCAAAAGGCTATATAGTGACAGAGCCATACTACTGAAGTTTAAGAACATAAAAATTGATCAGCCAACCAATCAAACAGGGGGAAGGGATGGGGGAGAAGAAAAGGAAAAACACATCTTAAGCTTGTTAAAACACAAAAGGAATTACTGGATTTTAAAGAAACAACAATAAGTGAAAACCTGCAAAGGGACAATGTAACCTTTTGGGTTTTTCCCAGCAACACGTATTTTAATATATGCAGGAAAGAAAAAGATGCTCAATACAATCTGAAAACCTTTAAGGGGGACTTCACAGATTGTGAAGACTGAAGTTTTCGTTATGTGTTTCTAGGTTTTTTTTTTTTTTTAAACTTTTTGAAGTTTTGTAAGAAGGACACCACCAGTGTATTTCACAAAGACATAAATGTATACACCCCAGCACAACAAAAAGAATAGATCTTCAAAAAGATTTACCCCCAATTATTTACATTTTTCTCTAATATAAATTTAGGACTCCAGTATGTAAATAAATATACATTACTATGTATACCTTTCTAGTGCTGCTTACCAACAAATCATCTGAACTTGATTTTTTTTTTAATTAAAGCAAGATTGCTTTTTACGACCCACAGAGGGAAGAGGAAAAAAAAAATCAATAGAAAACATCCAATTCACATCACTTTAGTCTACCTTTTCTTGGCAGCTTGTTGAAGGTGTTAATGTGGCTGGGAACATCAACACCTTGGCATGCATGAAAGTTAAGTCAGGAAGGCTAGAAATCACCTTGGCAGCCTCTTCACTAAGATGTTCTTCCTTTTTAGGCTTCCTGTTGAGAAATAAAAAAAAACAGAGTGCATTAATCCAGTACCTGATATCCCTTGGATCACCAAAAGAACCACTGATTGAAGCAATGTTCTGGCAGTTCGTCTCCCATTGACAGGCACTTCTGTAAGCTACTTAAAGGAAGCCTAATGTTATAATACCTACCTGCCTACCAACAAAATGTTAACATAGAAAGTCAGCAAAATGTTCCTGAATATTCTTGCAATAAGGGGGAAGGAAAAAAAAAAAAAAAAGATGATTTCCTATTCAGATGCTAGTTTTTATATATTTTTCTTTGGGTTTTTTTGGCAGGTTCCAGCATGCCATTCTGGGACTACTCACTTGAAGAAACAACCATGCCCATATTCTAGGGATAAGACAATAGAAGCATTAGTTCTAAACGACCTAAATTCAGTATAATCTTTCAAAATAAAATGGAAAAATCCTGAAAGGACATTAAGAAGTTCCTAACTTACTTCTTAATACTTTTAAAAGAAAAAGAAGGTACTTATGCTGTGTTTCTGACATGACTGTACTCAGATTATACATCATACCGCTCTACATCGTGATCCACAAACCCTTTTTTCCCCTAGGGCTCATCAGCAGCAAAAGGTGGCTCACAACTTGTAGCTACTTGCTTTGAAGTGCAGTAGTATGTGTAGCCATAATGATACATACAGCAGTTTGGGAATCACTGGTGTTTACTTTGCCTTTTGCATTATTCACAAGAGTTACTGAGCGCAAATGAATAAAGAAGTCTGAATCCCATGTTGCTTGATTCCCACTATTATGCAAGAAACTCACATTTCCTAAGTAAAATGAAGACTGGCTCAGACTGCTACAGCAGTCTCCCTCCCCTCCCCAAATACTCATACTTTACAGATGTCTGGCTTATCTTGAAGAACGCTGCGTATTACTAGAAAACCTGAGTATTCCATCAAACATTATTCCAGTTCCAAAAAGGCACCTGCTGCACCCTGTAACGACATTAGAAATTCTAGCTGAATAAGCTCCCCCATCTTTGGGGCAAAAAGCTGAGTCAAAAGGCTTGAACCTATAGAAGTTTCCTTTCAATGGCTCATCTTAGCTATAAACTTTAAGCTGAGCCCATGAGAGGGCAATCACCACTCCGATCACAAAGCAGCATGTACTTTTATTTTCTTTTGTCAGCACCCATCAGGACTGTTTCCTGAACTGATCAGAGACCAGGGAAAGCAAGGGGCTACGTGTTTGCTTCAGCAGCAGTCTCAGAATTTCTTAGCTAGGAGAAGAAAAAAAAGAGCTGGAGTCAAACTCATCCTTGACATCGCTGATCATTGTGTTGACACTGAACTATCACTTTTGTTTGCTACTTGAAATCTCCACTTGATGAAAGATCTCTAGATGAGGCAGCCTAGATACTAAATCTGACTCTCCTTCACTAGAATAGCAATATTTTCTTTTCTCTGCTGCAGTGGAATTTCATGAGCCACTGACTAGGCAGATTACCAAATTCTGGAGGATAAACAAAGCTGTGAGCTGGATTTATTGAAGGAAGAAGCAGAGAGCCAATATGTGCCTCCTTCTCTAACAACTCCACAGTCAGCTCTGTTTGCACTCGAAGGACTATCTCTGAGCTGTTGAAATGTGGTTGTCACCCACCACTGTGTTATCAGTATCTGGTGCCACTATTAGTAATCACTTACCACAAGCCTCTTAAAGGTACAAACTCCTGGTGATCAAGGACTTACAGCTAACAAAGGAGAGTTTGACAGAGGAAGCCAAAGGAAGAAGGCTGACTCAGATCTGCATTAAAAGGAGTTCCTGTAATTGTTAATCAGGCACCGAGATGGAGCTCACACACTCCTTGCTATTTATATGCCTCTTCCTCCTCGGCTCAACTGTGGCATGCTAAGAAATGGCACTGCTGGGTCCCAGAGGCAGTGCTGCATTTTATTTGGTGACGATACGGAGGACCTTTATCACAGGACGATGCTATTGCTCTTGCTGTACTAGCTGGTCTCTGCAACATCACCGCAGAACATGCACACCAGTGAGCACAGTCAGATGTGAATCTCACCCGATTACTGAATGCTCCCCTCCTGGCTGGAGGCCCTTTGCAATAATTTATCTACTTAATGTACTCTGTAAAAAGTATCTATAAAGAAGGACAAGCTAACACACTTACACAGCAAACGCTGTTTAACTATGACCAAGTTACAGGTATAGAAACAATCCCTTGGTAATGAGGCTCAAAACCTTTTTTTAAATCATCTCAGTGCAGAGAGGGATGAGACAGCCTAAAGTCTCCATTCCTCAATGGAGAGGGGCAGGTTCCTCCGGAAGACAATAAAACTGGACACTGCAAGTACCCTTTCTGGGTAACAGTCAGCACCTTCGGTAGCAAAAATCATCAGGGCAAACCTTAAAGAATTACTCACTAAATCTCTGAACTTAAAAGACAAAGTAGCATCATCACTGCAGACTGTTTTTACCCTTAAAACTTACCAAATTGCCTAATAACCATGATGCCTTACGACAGAGGCAAGAGAGAGAACCACGTCAGGTCCATTAATTTCAGTCACCACTTTTGCTGAAGATGTTCCCACTGCCATGAGATTCTTTTGCTAAACGTTGGTCTGTGGGGGGCCATTGCAGAGCTTCTACTCATGCACTCTTAATTTCTAGCTACCGTGGCTTACAGAATGGACACCCAAGTGGATGGCCAGTGGCACCTGTACTACCTCTGTCTGCTTTGGAACCAGAACTTTTGATTACTAAACCATTAAAGGACCCAGCCCTGGCTCAAAACAGGGTCCCTGCCTATTCAGGTATTAAAACTACCTTTTACAGAATACTTTGCCCCCATCCCCCCAAGACAGAGGAGATGCCCTTACCCAAGCAAGTAACTGCAAGTCCCTCTACCTGTTGGCATGAAGTTTCCTTTTCAAAGGCATGTTAACACTAAGCTGCAAGAAATTAGCCAGACTGACAGGCAGGAAAGTTGTTGGAAGAAAATTTAGCAAGAAATAGGGAATGCTTTGTTGATGCGTCACTGACACCTCACTGTTCTGTTTTGCATTCCAACCCCTTTCTGCAGCGTTCAAGTCTTTGAGGACTTCAGTCATCTTTCATGTTTGCAAAGGGTTTTGCAGATAGCACCAGCAAGGCCAGGCTCTAATAGCAACAATGAGCTGATTAGAGAAATACACTTAAAAAAAAAAAAATCATCACTAAGTAAGAGTTAGCCTGCTCCATCCAACACCGCCCACAAGGAGTATTTCCAGTTTAAATGAGGGTTTTGGCCATTTCTTGGAAAGGTATCAGTGCTCTGCTTTCTTTCAAAAAGACAGCAGATAAACTTTTGATCTCTGCCAATGCTATGGAACTGGGCAAGGCTGCAGAGTCTCAGCGGAATGCTGTAGTGGATCCCTGACCTTCAACACTTACTGCTGCCATCAAGGTTTCAGACTCAAGCTGAGGGGGGAGTTTCCCCTCCTCTCCCAACACTTTCCTTCTGAGAAACTGACTTTCCAGCTTCAAGAGATGGGCTTGCAAGCAAAAGATGGGGCTATTTCAGACAAAGACGACTCTTCACATGTCTTCCTACAGCTGAACAATGGTATTTTCACTCTAACTTCATCCTCAAAGATCCTGACTTCAGACGAGTTACAGACAGACAGGGGATAGCCTTAGCATAACTGAAGCTGACACTGGCCACATCTTCCCTCATCAGTTATCATGAATAGCTAATAGTCCCTATCTCCAGGTTGGTGCATGAAAGTCATCCTTGTTGAGCTGGCTGTACCCAGCCAGTCCTATTTTAAAGTCTCCAGTTCATTAAGAAAGAATAAGAAAACTTCAGAAGAAAAACAATTTTATTAGAAAAAGCTTAACATGCTGCAACATATCTGGCATACTGCTGAGATAAGACCTTCTCATATCTCTGAAGGTTTCTAGCTTGAAAAACAGAAAAACAGACTGCTTTTCTTTTGGAGAGCATGAAATCAAAAAAGAAAAAAACCACTTGAAATTTTTAAAATTCAGAGTTGACAAAAACATACAAACTGTATTGAACAGTGAAAACAGCTGCTTTAAAACAGCTAATCCTTGTGTGTGTCTGAACTTAAACGCCAGGTCTGAGGTCCCCAGCCTCTTCCTACAGCCCAATATATTGCTACAGCACAGATATAGAACCTCCTCCTATCAGTAAGCAACGCTCTCCAGAAGGGGGGAAAAACTTTCACATCTGGATAAAGAGCTTTAACAGCGCAAGTAAGAGCTTTCAAGGGCACCGTGGAAGCATTGGAGAAAACCCAAACCCCTCATTAAAAAAAACAACGACACAGAAAAACGAAGGTCAACATTAATTGAAGCAAAGCAGACTTCCCTGTTCCTTTGTAAAGAAGTAGTAAGCTAAGACATCTTAAAGCAAGCAAGCAGGTACAAATCTATGAGTGGAGATAAAATAATAAAGATACATTTGGAGTTTGCATCTCCTGCTGTGAATTTGCGGTTACTTTTAAACTAGACTTAAATAAATATTATATTTCAACTGTAACTATGTTTTCTAATTAGTGAAAGTCAAACTTTCCAACTAGTGTATCTTCAGAAAGAGTATATGCACTCCATGGATAGAAAAATAGGTAATCCAAAAGCCGAAACACAAAAATCAGCATTGAAGTGTGGAGTTCCCTCTACTGGTTCTCCCCTGAAATTTCATGGCTCGTTGATCTTTTTTATTCAGTGTTCACTTTGAACATTTTCACTGCAGGAAAACTAGCAAGATAGTTTTCTCAATGGAAGAAGATGTTTAAAAAGAGCTCTTGAAAATTATAGTTTTAGTCATTTCAAGAAAGCCAGCTATCTCCCACCATTACAAATCACTGTATTTGCCACACCTCTTCAACTGTGCCTCCTCTCTAAGTGCTATGCTGCATGGAAACGCATCTATTTAGTTTTAGAGTGCTGAATAAACCCTAAAGCTCACTTACGAGTGAGGATATGTTACTATCTATTAGTTGCAAAGCAACTAATACTTGTTGCATGTTGAGGCATGCACTTCCTCAACAATAGAAACGTTTTCCTTGGTGAGAATCACTCAGCGATTCTTTTAATGGGCACAGACATTAATTACATGTTAAGACAGCCCAGGATTCTACTGCTAAGATACAGACTCAAAAAATAAACCCAAAGAATACAAGCTTATAAAAGGAGAGACTATTCTGTACCCATTCAACAGGCCAGACCGAGGAAGACATTTGACACCTAAAGCCTTTATATAGACTCTACTATAAAAAAAACTACAGAAGAACTTCACGTGAGATCCATGAAGCAGAAAGGACATCCTAAACCAACTACACACTCGCTCCTTAACTTGCAACACCAAAATGAGTCTGATGTTTGGTCACTGAAGTTTTGACAGGTGCTAGAAATATATGGGAAGAGACAAATATTGTCATAATTATTAGTCAGTTTTATCATTTTACTTGTGGAACATTCCGATCTATAAATTACACAGAAGACCGAGGAGAGTCTTCTGTCAAAGTCCTAGGTCACTGAACTGCGTGGTTCAGTTTACCCTTCCATTCTTAGGAATCAGCTCTGTTCTTCAGAAAGTCGCTTCCTCCAGTTCAGTCTTTGGCTCTAGCTTTTCAACTTATGTCCTGGTGATCATCTTCTTTCAGCTCATGAACTGTTTCCCATCTTATTTTAGAGTTCTATGATAATTTGAAATATGAACTACAGTACTATGAATTTCATATTTAAATGTAATTATTAAATTTAAGCCTTTTGATCATTCAAGAACTTCTGACCTAAAACAGCACACACATTGACTCCTCACATTTCGTGCCACCCTCAGAAAAATAAGAAAAAAGTGCAACAACGAGTATTTACCTTGTGGACGTGCTTGCCTTCTCCACTGTGGACATGAGTCTTGCAAACGCATCAGTCACTCTGTTGCTTGCATTGGAAGTTTCCAGTTTTGAGGTTGTCAATTCATACAACTCAGGATCCACACCTTATAGTATAAAATGATAATCAGTGATGGTTGGAAGCAAGTATAGCCATAATTAGCCACAGACCGACTTGCTAAAGACTGTTTTCTGTAAACATCTGAATCATTTATAATTTCAAGGTACATGAAAAGAACATGACAGAACATGTCTGCGTTTCTGAAACACTGTCCTCTCTCCCCACCCTTTTTCAGTAGCTTTTCTAGTTGTACTACAAAACATGCACACATTGGATCAAGTCTGGCATACAAGGTCTCAGTCTAAGAGTAAACAAAACAAATTTGGTTTACCTTTTAGAGTGAAACACCTGTAAAGATGTCAGCTGTGATAAAATGGACTGTTTCAATTACTTCAACTCAACTGTTGTATTAAAAGAATGCTGCACGTTAACAGGGACCAACTCTTTAACGAGAGATTACACACAACGCTGGCATGCATTAGAGTGCATTTAGTATCTTGCTTTTCACAAGAGGTTGTGTTAAAAATTTTTTAAGTGAGGAAAAGCAGCTTTTATGATACATACAAGTGGAATGGCATTTAAAGAGTTACATACTAATATGTATAATGCTACCAAAACTTTTAGTCTATGCTCCCATTTCATCTTTCAAGTATTTATAAAGCATCAGGTATCTGGATGTTTCAGTCTTGATTTCATAGTTTCAGATATCTTAAGTCAGATGCTAAATTTTGACATCACATACATTGCAAATGGATTTCAAATTTTATCAGCAGAGGTCATTCTGAAAACAATACAAACAATGGAAACCTGCATCCAAAAAAATACGTATGTATAGGTGAAATTCTACATGTTTAATATCAAGCATCACATCTCAGTAGGAAGTATCTCTAGAATTTCCAGATAAGAAGTATGCTTTCTTTAAAAAAGTCTCTAGGAATTAGAATTATCAAAATACACCAAGAGGAAAGACTCTTACAACACATTTTATTGCTCAGAAGCATTTTAAATTGGTGATATTCCTCTAGTTACAGTTTCAGCTATTTTATGCTTCATGGGTTTAAATGAAGTGTGCGTATGTGCCATCCACGATTACAAATATTTTTCACAAACAGCATAGAATTTTTGTACAGAAGCATTGTGTTTTATAGACATCTGCGTTCTAAACAAGCATAACACTAGTGCCAGCTGGTTTGGACAACACAGAATCATTCCATACTACTGCAGAACAAACGCTGCAAATACTTGCACACGATGGTCCCATGTAGCTACCTAACATAAAACCAGCATTTATAAACTGATGTGCTGATGATTTTACCCAGTTTACTTGCCTGGATCAAGACGCTTTTAGAAGTATTCCTGAAATACTGAAAGATTACTAAATTAAAAAAAAAAAAAAAAAAATGCTTGTGCCTATTGTCCTGCCTTTTCTACCCAGTAATTGCAGTACTATGTGAGCGAACGGATGGGGTTAATAATCCTCATGCCTGCTTTGCATGAACTCTCCCCAAGCAGTGTCTTGACCATTGATCATTTGTGCACAAGTTGACCCTTTCACTGTTAGGAAACTGAGCTGACCAAAAAGTAAAATTAAGAAAATCATCTGGTTAAGTTGCAGGAGCTGGGAGGGAAGATTTGCTCCATTTAATATGAGTTGATTAGCCTAGATTTTTTAAGTCTGGATTTTCAAAGTTAATTTCATCCCGTTTCATGCACAACATCAAAATATGTACTGTCCTGAGACCAGTATACCAAGACTTTAAGTATTGTCAGATGTTTACAGAACTTGGAAATAGGAAAAAGCCCAGCTATTCCATAAAATACCCACTTTCAAACAGGGAGAGGAAGACTTGAAGAAATACACTCTGACTTGCAGAAGCCTGCGAAATCCCATTAAGGTACAAATTGTAAAACTAATTGAAACAAGGAGTCCTTGGACATGCAACTCCGCAACAAATGTTGACTGCAACCTTTTAAGTTACATCATTTAGATATTCACATTTATGGTCCTGAATTCATTTTCATTGTAGTGCGATGTCACTGCTCAGTTTACTGTTCTTCAGGAACCTCTTACTAGCTAGATTTATGTTAAACTATCAACATGAAAAATAAAACAATACACTAAATCTGTGGGAACATACTAGAAATGAGTAACTCCCTGTTCATGATGTAGAATGCAAATTTTAATAAAAAGTGATTTTGGCTATTGATGAAATCAGACTGAGAAGAATGCAGTGTAGATCTATAGTAAGTAAAATTAAGGTCTTCAGAGAAAGAACAAACTTCTATTACTGATAAAGGTTTCTTCTTTAAGCCAAAAGATCTAACAATTTGTCTTTCAATTATTTCAGTTATTTTTATGAGTTGCATATTCTCCATTTTATTCAAATGATTACAGAATATTTAAGGAATGCACTGCAAAACCTTAATGAGATATTGAAGGAAAGTTAGCCAACCAAACCCCACACAAAGCTCCTAAACACACACACAAACACACGAGCTGCAAGCCAAGAAACAAATGACTTTCCCAGAAACAAGTCAGGAGGAAAGAAAAACCAACCAACCAAACAAAAAAAAAGGCACTATAGGGCATACCAGGAAGGTGATAATACCTGTAACTTGATGAAACAACAACAACATAAAAAAATGCAATAAAAGGGTAACAGAGTATCCCTCCAGTAATCACTTCCAAGTGTGCACACCATCAGGACACAAGAATGTACCCAACTGCACGAGCAGTATGTGTACTGGGTACTGACGACTTTGATGTTGATAGACTTGCACACACTTACAAAAGAATCTGTAAGACTCAAGCATCTTGAATTTGCTACCTATCACTTCCACGACAAACCTGCCATCTTTCATCTGATAATGACATTTCTCAAGGGTGGAATAAAAAGACATTTGGAATGCGATGCCATAAAATTGCCTTCAGTGATCAGATTTCAAAACTAAAAAAGCAGGTTTTTAAAAACAAAAACTACAGTAATAATTATAAGCACTTATCTGAAATGTGGGAAAACACCAAGCCTCTTAAAAATTTATTTTTTAAATTAAAATCACTAAGAGAAAAAAAACCCTTCCTATGAAGAAAATAATTATCATGGCTTCTTCAGGCATTGTATTGAAAGAGTATTTGCCTTATCTACTTATCCTATGCACTGGGATAAATCCCGAAAATGTTCCCTTAAATTCCTGCAGAAATTTATTCAAAGTGTAGGTTTTCACAAGCTCACGCAAAATACTCAGAGCATGTCAGAACTACGTGATAAATGAATTGAATTACTTTCACGTATTATTCAACGGAGAGAGTGGTGTTTTTGTCTCCTTTTAATGAAGTAAGTTGCAGATAAAGTGCTTTGGTTTTATAATTAACATTCATGAACTTCTGATGTCCCACAAACATGCAACCATCCTTGCTTTCTATTATGAATGTTGTTAAAACACTTTTTTCACTTTATCATTAATATTAGTAGTTCACATAAAGAAAAAATCCCCAACCGCCTGGTAGCAGCAAACACCAGCGGGGTTATGATACGTTAAGCCCCATAACTTTATATTCACACATAACTTCCGAATAACATCATAATCCTATAATTTGGAGACACTCATTCAGAACAGAGAACAAGCCACATCTTTTGGGAATCGTCAAAAAACATCTACAGCATTTTTTAATTTTTCTTAAGTGCTTAGAAAAGTTAACTTTCAAAATTTCTCATTTGAAACAAGCGTTTTAACATCTTACTTGCAAGAGCATAAGAGCCATTCATTCCTTCAGTATGTGATAAATACAGAGCTGACAGTACCTTTTAAATACTTCGCACTCGATACAAAACATCAGAAAACAGAACACAGATTAAAGGAAAAATGCAGTAGAAAGACATTTTAGAGAAACGCAATGTAAAATTTCTCCTTGTTTATAGGAAAGTCAAGTGATGTGCTCATGCTTTTAGTAAGTCGTTATAATATTACATTTGTGGTTTTAACACTCTGCTGACCTGGGATTGTGGTGGTGCTGCTAGAGCTACTGTCATCCACGGGCCCAAAGAAATCAAGGTTCAGAAGAGTGGAACCTCCACTAGCTTGAAATTCAGTGACCGTGTTGGTAGGCAGCCATATAGAAGGTAAGCCAAGGGAGGGGTTTATGTGTAAAAAGGGGTAAGACACACACTTGAACATGCAAGTTATAATTAGTACTCAGTACGCAATTTAAAAATTGACATGAAAACAATGCTTACAGTATTAGTTTGTACCTTCTAAAATGTTAACAACTTAATTCAGTGCACATTTCCTTATGTACAATGCAGCAAGGAAATCAACACTAGTAACTTTAAAATAGAAATATTTATTTCAATCTAAAAGTGAAAGAGAACCAGCACGACCCAGAGAGAAAGATGTGATCAGTTAAAGGGAAACAATATATAGGTCAATTGATAGTTAGAATATAGTGGGCTTTTTCTCTCCTCACTGAAATTGAAAGCCATTCTTTCAATCCCCAAATAGCAAAGAACAACAAAAAAAAAAACTTTAAAGTTTTATTTAGCAGCGTTAAGCTATTAATTATAATTATCTTAAAGCAGTGTGAACACAGGGTAACAAATGCCACTCATATCCAGTTCCTCACTGGTAAATTATACTGTTCCCCTTTAGTACTAAAACAGAAATCAAACCAAGATACATTTTAAAGAAGGTATTTGTTAAAAAGAAAGCATGATGATTGACTGAAGTAATAAGACACCAGACAACAGCAAAAGGGTCCATCCAGGCTTTCCTTCAGCACCATGATATTGCTACCCAAACTCTTAACATCCCGCATGTTCTGAAACAACACCGTGAGGCAACACCAGTGCAGTAAGAGATGCAGTTTATTTTAGCCTGCTTTTGAACAACTTATGTGTCATGAATTAATTGCTGTTAGCAGGCTCCTCATAAAGGTATCAGTTTCTTTACAGGTTTCTAGTCTGTCAATCAAACAAGTTTCCAAAACTTGTTTTATTTACTCTGCATGCACTTACATTTCTGAGACTGGAGGCGGTGGCACAACTCACTTTGCTATTAAAATAGACATAGGTGAAGGGTCTTTTATGCGACAACTATATACATTTACAGATACAAATAAGTTTGTAGCTACCTCTTTAATTTATTAGCTATAATTAGCTCTTGAGTATAAGCAAAAGTGATAACAGATGAAGTCACATTTTTGAAATATAAAATTATCTGTAAATCTGAAAACTTTCAGCCCAAGAAGTGTATCTTTTGCAAACGGTTTGTGGTTAAAATATTGTGCTTTGAAGTAGCCACTATACACAAGTTTGTCATTCAAAGGATGTCGAAAGAGATAGTTCATTGGTGAAAAACACTTTTAAGAAGTAAAACTTGTCAATCTAAAATGCTCATTTGTTCAGAGTTTCATTATAATCTGCAGTTATGTATATAATGAAGTGTTAATATTGCCACTGTGTCATCAGCATATGGCAGGAATCTAAAATAATGCTTAACTTAGTATTTTTCAGACTACATAATACTTCACGTAGGGGCACAGTTAATCAGAAAGAAAGCCTGAATTTCCAAAGTTAGGAGTAAGAAATAAATATTATATATATTTTTATATATGTGTGTGTGTGTATATTTAAAAAAATAATCAGCAGATAGATGTTTGTCTGAACTTTGTAGCTTTCTTATCTCTAGCTCTGGTGCTAGAGGCTCTACGGAGAGACGTACCATCTAAAGGGTTAGTAAGGCCACTGCTACTCCAGTCAAACTGGACAGGTGGTAGAGATTCCTAGAGTTGAAAAGTCAGAAATCAGATTTTATAGTCAGTTCAGGTTACAACAATGCAAAGCAGTTCAAACAACAGATTCTTTAGCGTCTAAATACTAAAAAGACAACTAAATGAGCAAGCCCCAACTTTTGGGAGGTGTGTATTTTCATAATATGCACTAAAGATTCAAAGTAGATTTGTTCTACCACAGGAAGTCTTATTAAATTCTGAACAGTACAGATTAAGTAACTTCTAACTCAAACAGGATCTGCAAAATAACTAAAACATATGAATTGGATAAAAAGACCTTAAGGCATAGTTGAAAGTTAAACTACTATTACTTTCATGGAAGACGAGGCATTTTGCATAAAAAGTTATGTATACACAATTATAGGGCAAATTTAGAATAGGGTTATTAGTGAAAGCTGTCTGTACATCCATGTTTTGTCCTGATTATATATAAAATCAGTTATTTTATGATATCATCATCAAATATCCCACAAGTATTTTGGTTTGTTGTACTTTTAAGAGACATATTCCCTCATATGAGGGACAAACTATCCCTCCCCACTCCACCCCCTTTAAAAAAAAAACCCTGTGACTTACTATCCTTTAACGATTAACTCATTCCAATATATAAACAAACCATTGGTAACAATGCTTGAACAAGAGGAGCGTGGAAACATTGACTCCTTCTGGGAGCCCATCCTCGCCTTGTCATTTCCTCTTGTTAAGTCTTTTGCACACACACAGGTAAATCAAGCAAGCACCAGGGACCATACTTTACAGGGAAAGTGCGTTCAGGTGCAGTGCAACTTGCAAGTGCTGTCGTCCTGTATTCTCAGGACACAAACTGATGGGACAGTATCAGAAATGTCTGAAATAAGTTGACCTTTCTACTTTTGTGCATTACATTTCTGCTCTCTCCCCAGAGAAGTCAATCGTCAAGAAGTATTGGGAAAGGATGTGCCTTCAACTTCTAACAGAACAATCACACTAATGGAAGAAAAGCAATGGAAGTTCTCTGCGGCATTATTTAAAATGCATCACTAGTTGTCAAGCTTCCAGTGGCTGAGACATACCTTCTCTTTGCTTTTGTAGAAAGTCAGGCTTTAATTTTTTTTTTTTTTTTAAACTTTTAAAACTTTCAACTATCCAACACTGAAAAAATATGCAGATTCACAAATCAAGACTGTAGCAACCTGAGTTAGCTTGGTACAATTAAGCTAACTGTAAGAGGCTTTTGCTAGGTGATAGAAGTTTACAGAAAGAAAAATGAAGGGAGCTGGAAATTTCTGTGTTTACTTATAGTAAAAGCCTTGCCTAGAAAAATCTTTCATATCTAATGACTTGGAAATATTTCCAGCACTGAGCACAATTAGAACAGTATTCACTCCGTGGCGCTTAAGGAGCTGATGCTACATTTTTTACTTTGCTTTGGTAATGAAGTTACTGGCACTGAAATGATTTGCATGGAAACATAATGTTAGCAGTGTAGAAGCTACACCTGATGAAGTAATGATCACTATCATCAGTAGCTTGTTTAAGGTTTGTCACACCTAAAATATATTAACATTAAAAGGGGTTTGTACCAAAAAAAAAAAAAAAAGGAGGAAGGTATGACAATTTAGGAGCTTTCTGCCCTGAGGAAAATGAACTCAAATTGAATCAAAGTAGCTTCCTACCAACTCTCACTTAACTGAGGAAAACACCCACTACATTTTGTGTCAAAAGACTGAGTCAGGACTCATGAGCGTGACAGAATTGCATGGAAAAGGTGGTACCAATAGCTGGCTAAGCTCTTCCCTTTAATGATGACTTAGTTCTCAAATTTGCCAAAAAGACAAAGGATGTGATGAATTCTTCCTAAAATGGGGGGTAAAAAAAAAAATCTGACTCCAAATCAGTAAGAGTATACTAAGTATATTAGTCTGCTCTGTGGGATGAGGCCATTCTGCTGACTTCAACCACTTGCAAAAGGCGGGGGCGGGGGGGCAAGTAAAGCAGACCCCATCTATTGCAGGATGCTGGCAAGCCCTGGTCTATACAACAGCAAACAAAGTGAAAGGAGAGGGCAGAGGCAAAAGCCAATTAAACAGAAAGGAAAAGTTTTCTGTTTCTAGTGACCTCGGCTCTAAGAAAACTAACTATACTGGGACACCTGAACACAGCATTGAAATCTCAGACAATGGGAACATGCCCCACAAATGGGAATATAATGTTTTGTCTTTCAGAGATTACAAGGTTGCTGGATTATTGCATTTACAACCAGTATTTTAATAACATGCTTTAAGGAAAAATGCCCAATCTAGAAGGATATTGAGAATCAGGGCAAACTGCTCTCACTCCTCCCTCCATCTTAGATTACACGCCATGGTACAGAAATGAAAAAGTATACTCAGCTGCCAGAGTACTACTCAGTGTTAAGGAAGTGAAAAAGAGGAAACTAAGATGCCTTCTGGTTTTCCTGCATCGTATTTCACTTTTATCAAAGTGAGAGATATTTTCACACAGTAATTTTAGAATGGTATTATGTAAAAGCTTTTATAATCCAAAGGAGTAAAATGTAAGTGTTTGTCTCTGTGCCAATAATTACCCAAGGAAAATTAAACAAAGGGGGGAAAAAAAAAGGAAGTATTTTTCTGTCTTAAAGCTACGGGAAAAAAATAGAAGGGCTTGTAATACAAAGGTAATATCAATATTTAGATAGATCCCACAAATGAGCACCATAAACATTTCAGAAAAAGGTTTACAAGGAAGTAATTCATACATTTCATTGTATGTATTCATTGGCAAAATTACAACAGTTCTGAAAATTATTTTTCTCAGACACCACCTTTAAGCAACTGTCACATCTGATAGAATAGCAAGTTCTGTAATCTCTCTTACCTGCAAATCTTTCTCCTATACTCTGTCAACAAAGCTACATATATTCTTGGATCTTTCTCATATGTATAACTGGAGGGCAGTTCCATGATGGAGCCTTTGGCTGGTGGCCAATAATATGGTAGTTTGCATCTGTCATTGTTAGAAGTCCTGATGGTCCCTTATGTAATTAAAAGTGTTTTTAAAGACTGTCAGCCCGTAGGGTTTAATTACGGTCAGTCCCTAACAGCCAGCAAGCGTAAGATAAATATTGTATTATAAACTGATCTCTAATTCAGTGGCTTACATGCATGCAGATGTGCTGTAATAGGCACCCACAGAAAAGAATTACTGGTAATTTTCTTCTAGAAAGGTCTGGGTCACTGTAGATTTCTATTCCAATATAAAACTTACTACGCAAAACTAGGCAGGTAAGAAATCCCAAAGTTATCCTGTACGCTGGGACAAAGCTACCACTAGGCTCTAGCAAAGAAACAGTCCCAAATACAGAGAAGATGCTTTGAAGCAACACCAAAAGAGCAGAAATAGCTAGAGAACTTTTTGCAAAAAAGCCAAAAGAGAAGAAGATAAACGAACTTTAAAACTATGGTAGCCAGAGAACAGTATCAAATCAAGAGAAAGCAGTCAACGTTAAGTCTAGACAGAAACTTTTTTAACAAGCACTGGAATATATTCTAATCACACTGCCTGAAAACTTGGCCATGGTGTAGAAGCCCGCTGTAACAGATGCTGTAAAACAGACGAGAAGGATACCTATCTCAGGTGCCACAAGCAAAGGTTGCCTGTTTGAGCAGCCATTCTCTCTTATGCCTGATGTGCCTTGACAGAGCCTTTTACTTCAGACCTGCAAAGTTTTTGAGTCACCATGCTTAGATAAAGGCAACAGTAATCAGGGGATTATCTCATATTCTGTTTACTGTCTTACAGTTATGAGCACAGAGGAACAGAGAAATAAACCCCCCAATTGTCAAGATAAACAACAGATCAAAGAAGAATTTAGATGCTACCTTCAAACACAAACCAGAACGAGTCTACAACAGTCATCTTTATACAATAAACTAATGTGATAGATCAGTCAGTAACTTAACTTGCTTGAGAGGAGAAATCATCATTTCAAAAACCTTGTCCTTACAGCTTAAATGACTCAGATGGAAATTCGTCCACTGTGTTTCCACAGTCTAACCAACCCAGTGAGAGCCTCTGCAGGAAAGGAGGCCAAAACATAGAGTTTATATAATAACTAAGAAAAATTATTGCAGCTCATTTGCTGCTTTTTGCCTCGTTCTTTTGATTTCTAGTGCTCTCTATTTTAAATCTCTGCATGCTTTCCTCAGTTCGCCTACAACCAAAAAACTAAGGAGGCATTTCTGCGTTTTTACAAAAGTTCTTTGCATTCCTACTTTTGCATCATTACAATCTTTCTTCCAAAGTCTTATTCCCTCAGCAAAAAAAAAAACACTGATCTGTATACAAGTCCCAAAAGTGCCAGGCTTTCAACAAAGGAGAACTCTTTTCCTTATCTTAAGCAAAGCATAAGAATTTTCAATAAGAAAGCCAATATGCTGAATATTTCTGAATATAAGAACGACCAATGATCATTGCCATCTGAAAATGGAGGAATTTAGAAGTTTTTACCCAGTTAATGTGTAATTACTTAGTTAAGCTTTAAGATACATAAGTTGTTGTACCTAAATTACCTGTGTTTAGAATAAGAAGTTTCAGGGTCCACTAAAATTGCCTATATCTCCATTGCTTATTAATGTTTATTTATTAACATTCATAGCACAGTTTCTAATGAAAAGTTTACCAAAGTTTGAGCACATCATCTTAATACCACTACAATCTGGAATATTCCTAAAAGACAGTCTGCACAATGTGAAGTGAAGCTGGATTTTCCCGAAAGTAAACAGAAGCCACGAAACATTAACAGAAGATGAGGCCAAGAAAGAAACAAGCTCTCTGAGGTGGAGAATTGATCGTTCATGCCCTGAAACTTTCTGAATGTCACTTAACTGTGGCCTATTAGCATTCTTAATGGTTAGAACTCTAACGCATCTGTTCCCCAAAAGCTTATTTTAGTATTTGTCTTTTTGGAAAAATAACCTAAGGCCAGCAGTGCAGACAGATAGCATAGAAGATTCTCGTATGCATTCATCGACCGCAACTATGGAACTGAGATAGCCTTGTCAGAACAAGCTATGAGACAGGATTATCAAACTGTAACAAGTAATGGGAAATTCTGCTGCAGGAGTACCCAAAAGTACAAATTCATAATCAGAGGGGAAAAAAAAAAAAAAAAAAAAGAGACTTCGATAAGTAGAGGTTCTTATTTTCACCACTCAACACTACGACTGCCAAGCAACTGAGAAAATGGCACATGTCAGAGATGCTGCCACTTCAGGCTCTCACAGCTCTCTACACTATGTTTAGCGTATGGTTTAATCTATGTCTTCCCCTCTCTAAAAAAGGGAACTTTGAACGCTGAAGAAAGCCAGTGAAATTTTCCTACTTTGTTCATATATAGAAATCACACAAGTGATTTCTTCAGCTCAAACTGGTTGCAATAATCACCACTGTTACCTTTTCTAATACCCAGTTAAGCTGCTCAGTTCCACTATAGTATTTGTGAGAAGCAGCATAGGAAGCATTGCCAAACATGTATATTACTATATAAACCAACCTCAGTTCTGAGCCCACTGACATACTGGTATTCCACAATGAAAAAAATTTCTCCTCTGGTACGAGCATGTCACAGAGCTCTGCACTATGGCAGAGCAAAGAGCGCAAGGAAATCACCGTACTCAGAAGTACCTAGTGTTAAGGTTGGGTGTGGCACAAGGATAATTCATTTTCGAATGCCTTCAATCAGAAGTCACAAGCATAGCAGGTAACTAAAGATGCTGGGCAGATTAAATAAGACCTGCACTAAGGAGGGACACAGCTGACTCTCTGAATATGTGCCGAGTACCACTGCAGTGACACTGAGAACGAAATGTCTCTGCATATCCCATTAGCTAGTTGCCAGCCACACACATTGCAACATGCAGGGCATTTAAGTGGTTTTCTAATATCATAATATCAAACCACCACCAACAAAACAGAATTCATGGAATTCAAAAGCTCACTCCTAAACTCCTCTGAACTCATTTTGTATCAGACTCCTACAATAAGCTTCAGAAAAAACGAAGATGAAAAATGTTAGCTAGAGGAAGGACAACTGTAAAGTTACACCTAAAATTTGTGAAGTAACTGTCCACTGCCTTTTGGAGCAGCTGCTTGTATAGCAGTAAATATCCATCAGGACTCTTAAATGCTGGCCACCAACTGCTACAGTCTTATCACAGGGACTTCCTTCCAGTCACACATGAAAAGCAGATCCAAGAGCAGGACTTCAATCCAGGAACACCTTTACATACAGCTCTCTTTGAACACACCATCTAGATATTTTAAATATGAAGGAAGAGGCAAGGCATCCCATTGTTTCCCTCATTTTTTCTTTTCCTCTCCTCCCCCTTCTCTCTCTGTTTTTTACCTGGAACTGATCAGATGTACATGTGTTCATCTCTGGTGATACAGGAGGTGTCTGTCCTATTGAAGCTATTTTTTCTGCTGCAGATATTGGTTTCAAAGGTTCCTTGGTAGGCTCTAACATACCCTAAATAAATAAAGAAATAAATTAAAAAAGAAAAGCAGCAAAACAAAACACAAAAAACCACACACACATATACACACACACACATATATATTTCAAGAACTGCAGAAAAAACAACAGAAAACACGCTCCTAGGTAGTACTACCCTCAACTAGGGGTCAGGGGTAATCATACATCTCTGGGACACTTTCAGTGAGGGGGACAGAAGGAGATGGGGCAGAGGAGAAAGTCATCCTGATTCCTTAGGCCTAAGAAACATTTTAGAGCCAGTAACAGAAACCCAAGTGCTCAGCTGGAACTTGCTTTCAACTTTCAATAATGTAATTTAAGCTGGAGGAAACAATTACTTGATAAGGTGATGTCTTCTCCTCCCAATTGTGTGTAGACTATGCCGGAAACATCAAATGGCCCATCAGAAAGGACCATTGCATTTCACTCCATTTCATTTCATTCCAATGCATTCATTCCATTTCAACAATTAAGTAATTCAGAGGAAACAAGTCAAATTATCAGTTTGCAGAATGATACCAAGAACAATAACTACTGACATGGAAATAAATGCATTAAAAAGCATTAAGAAAATAATTAAAATCACATTTTTAATTTTAAGCAAACTGTTCAAAGCTAAACAGTACTATGAAAAAACATCTGAAATCTCTGGTGTTCCTGAATAAAATTGAGGGTGAGAAAGAGATCTACAGAAAGACCAAAGTTTGCACCAAGACATGCAAACCACCTCAGAACAATGAGGTATGAGAAAAGAAACCCCCAAATAAAACTATTGGATTTGCAACTAGCATATTTTAAAATAATTTCAGGAAGTCAGCCAAGATCAGCTGTCCCACAAATGTTTCTACACCATGTTAGGAGAGCTTAGAATTTAACCACCAGTTAAATCAATTCTTTTGGACAGCAGAGAAACACATGAAGCAGCGTGGCAACAGAAAGCCACAAGCCACTTTACTCCTACCATCATCTCTATCCAGCTTATTGTGTGCACAAGTGTATAAAAAATTTAGGAGATAATTAATCAGCAACAACAATCTGTTGCAAAAAATAACTGCACGTGTTGCGTACGTAGTCTTGCTCACAAATGTATTGCAGGAAGAAAACAGCCATTGCTATGAGATGTTTTATCTCTCCGTATCAGAATACCATGCTTACATCTGAAGAAGTGCATGAGCTGACCTTGATGCATTAGAAAACAACAGCTCTAGAAACCGACTGTAGAAGTCACTCTACAAAATTAACCTACAGATTAAATTGGCTTAATATAGACCAAAGAAAACTGTAATCCTTTTATATTCAATTTGTGAATGACCATATAAAAGTGTATGTGTTTGTACGCGTGTATATATATATACACATTTCCACACGTTTCCAGAAAAAAGAACATTTATTCTGCTCAGACTAGCAAAAATGGCAAATCTTATCTTCTGAATGTTTTTACTACTACAGACATTGCACAGAGTCTGAAATGCCAAACAGGAATTACAGAATATCAGCTTAAGTGACAACAGTTGATCTTGCTGCACTAGGTTACTTGAGGTTCCTTCAATCTATGGAAATCTAAATTATGCTTGCTATTTTTATCTAGCTCTTGGGGCAACACAACAATACTGGCTATACAACGCTTTTCGTATGCATAAATAGCCTAATATATATATATGGGTCCTTTATTAATATGCCAGTAACATTGCAAAGCATTACCATGCATCTCTCTTGACCTAGGGATATTGAGATGCAATCAAGTAATTAACAAACAGTCTGTCAGAGAAACAGTTGCACAAAGAGGAATGCTGGAGAGTGCTGAGAAAAACTTCCTACGCACATTTCATAGAATACTGTAACTATCTAGCAGTTCTTAACTTCCTCTGAAGCACCTGGTCTTAGTGCCAGGGCTTCCCTCAAGTGCCGATGCGAATTGATGTTCTAATTAATTTTGATGTTCCTTTGTCATTTTTGACAACTATTTAATGATCTAGTTTCTCGTGTCAAGTTTTAGTTGACATTTATACATCTATACCTTATATATAATAGTTAAAATTCAACAAGAACTTTTTATTGCTGCATACACATGAATACATTACTTCAATCAATTTTTTCTGTTTTAGAAAATGCCTCAAACTGAGCTTAGACTAGGCTAGCCCACCTTATTAGATAAATAGCTTGCTTTATGAAATGAGTAAATCAATACTGTTTTCATCTAAAATAAAGTATCTGCTTGTGCACATAATGAAAATTGTGTATTTGATGATTCTTTTCTAGCATTTCTACTGATGCCTAAGCCATAACCGTACTTATAAAAATATCTTTCAGCACACTTGGTGCTTAATGTCATTTAATATATTTCATTATATAATGTTGTTGGAACGATAACAAAAAATAACACTAAAAAAAGCTTACCAGTCCTGCTGCATACATGGGTACTATAACAGGCTGTTTCTTGTTGCCTGTAAAGAGCTGATAAAACAACAACAAAAAAAACTTACTTAAGAGTTTCTGTGTCAGTGATGACAATATTTTTTCCATGTTATGTATCTTGTATAAGATTAGTATCAGAGCATAAATACTATGTTAAGTATAACACAATGGTTAAAAACTAATGCAACTTTGAATATTAATAGGGCTTATAAAAAGGTAAGTTGTCAGATGGTCTGTCATGAAAAGCCATATTCAGTGCAGCTATGCAACTAAGAGACAAGCATTCTTACAAAAAGACTTCCACCTGATTCTACATTTAAAGCAGCTCCATTATTTAGAAAGCAAGTTTTACTGACAGACTCACAATATTTCTTGTGTCGATTCCCAAGGAGCACAAAAGCTTTTTGTTGCTGTGGGAGCCACCCCACTGGTATCTCAGTCCATATGCATCATGGATATCCTGCAGCTCTGTCCACACGTCCATCAGTTCCCTATACAACCCATCATAAATCAAGTTATCAACAGGAATAACAGCTTAGCAGCCTTAAATATTTATTCTAGTTTTTAATGCAAGTGACTTTTTATACATTCCAATTAAACTTACGCCCAAATACAACACCCAGGGGAACTAAAACTGCAGAGTGTTCTCAGAACAATTATAGTTCAGACTTATAATTGGAAAATGATGTCCACAGCAGACAGGACAAGGCCTACTTAGACTTCATCATCACATGAATAAATATAGCAATTTATATCAAGTGTAACTAATAAGACATATTCTGATTAACTCAGAGACATCACTTAAAAGAAGATGATAGGCTGCTGACTAAGTTGATACGCGAAGTGAAATACTCCTGGTATATATAGTCACTGAAAACAAGCATTCTGCTAGATAGCTAATTTTTACTCAACAGTTTTTCAAAACACTTGAAGCAAACAAGTAATTTTGAATTACTGCTATATGTTTTAAGTTCCCAAAGAAGACATGTTTCTACTTCATTTTAACTTTGTTGCATTGTGGCTTCTTACCCAGTATTTGCTAAGGTCTCCTCAGTTGTCATCTGCTTTTCACCTGCTTCCAACAAATGATTCAAGGAACTTATTTCTTCTTCAATCTCAAGAACAGGCATGGAAGGAAAACAGAGTTCAAATATTCGTTCCAGACGACTTAGCAACGTTGTCTATATCAAAGAGAAAATATTTATGTCAAGTTTTGTTAACTGCTTTAAAGAAGAGTCCAAAATTATAAAAATAAGTTAAGATGGAAAACAATACATAGCTGATACAAAGTTTCACTTGCCACAAAATATATAACTGTCTGAGGATCACAAGACTTTTTATAAGCACCAAATACAGGCTGCTACCTACTGAGAAACAGTAAGGATCTTGGCCTCTGCAAAGCGAGTTCTGGACAGAAGAGTCCAGAATAGTTCTTACACTCCTTGTTATAAATTAGCAGAAAAGATGTGCAAGGAGTATAAAGCTACAGTTACTTAAGACATGTTAAAGTCTCCAATTCTACACATCCTAAGGGTTTTACTGAACACATTTTTTCAGCAAGCTTAGTATTGAACATTATCTGAAATATAAACCAAAACCAGTATCATTTCACTTAATAACAATGCACTTCAATCCAAACTTGAGACATAACATTGATTCAGAAGACAGCTTCACTTCTTATAAGATGTATGCAGTTAAAGGTCCCACAAAACTTGGCCTGATGTGCAACGTGCTCGTGGTGTGATAACAACTTCAAAAACGGTAAGAAAAACCTATTTATAGCCCAAAGACTGCACACTTCCTAAAAAACTGTTAGTATCAATGACTTAGATGTAGGAAAACTATAATCCCCAGCTGCATTTGCTACGGTTCATGTGATAGTCAGGTATAATGCAGAAGAGCCAAGACTAAGGCATTTAAACACAGTTTGTCAAAAAGTATTTGTAAGATTTGTTTGGTAGTTCTCGAGACAAAAAAACGAAAGAAGAAGAAGCAAAATTACTTAATGCCTTAATTTCTTGCCCCAAAACCTATCTGTGCTGGTTTTACACGTTAGAGGTTGTTTAATTTAAATAGAAGGATTACTTTCCTCCAAGCAATTTCCCTTTCCTCCCACTCATGATTCAGAGAGTTGATGCTGAACGCCGCGATCCTGCAGGGGTTAAAAGCCAACGTTGGGAATGTTTCTATCCTACCCAAATAACTTAAAAAACAAAAAAAAATCCCCACTACATTTTATTTTAGCTGAATAAGGAGCCAGCTCAATAGCAGCACGGTTTGCATAACCACAACTTTATCTACGTTATTCTTGTCTGACCTTCTTTCTGCTGCCTTACATTATAAACTCACACCAAGAGTATGTAAATACAAATACTCAGAAGTTTTGCAGGAGGGCTATGGATCTATATTCCCTGATTTTGAAAAACTAGGCAGGATTTCCTGCTTGTCACAGTAGTTGCAACCGTGTCTTGATGTCGCCATCACTTCAGTGTCCCTTGGGAGAAAGGAAACTTCAGCATCTGAGGAAGGCAGGCAAGGTTCTTAAGTTTCATAACACAGCAAATGTCTCCTGCTTTTCTCTCCACCAGTGCCACAATCACTGCTGCTGGGTAGGACAAGGTCTCAGCAATATAAACAGCACATATTGGTACTAATGGTTTCCAGGCATTTTAATTCCACAACATGCACTGGAGAATGCTCCGATACTTGCCACGTGGGCCCTGGCAGATGAACTTAATATTAAAAACAAAAAACCCCTTGAACAACCTCCCACCCCCACAAAAGCAAAATAAAAATCCCCCCCCTTTTTTTAATTTTTACAAGCATAGTATGCTTTCTTCTTTTTAAGTTCTTCCCTTACATTTCTATCCCTTCTCTCTGTTGTATTTCCATACAGACACAGAATTTCAACTTTATTATAGCTCTATGAACTCAGATGTACCACTGACATGGAAAGTATTTTTCCCCCAGTTCAACCCACTAAAACCAGGTAACCGGCAATCTCTTAACATTCATTAAAAAGTACCAATTGCAAGGTATGCTCACAAAAATGAAATTAAAGCCTTTTTTTTCCAATGTACTTGTTTTTAACAGCAGCACTCGAATCTCTTTTCTTGCTAGGGGAAGGAGATGCAAGCCTGGCACAAAAGGAGCACTCCTCTCTTTCTAGTTTGGAGTTCCTCAACAGCCACCTTTCCAATGCTCTGCTGCACTGCACACAGGGCAGCACCCAGCAGCTCCAACATCCGCTTTTCTACTGGGGAAATGGAAAAGAAACTGAGTAGGCAAAAAATCCCATAAGCATCCCACAGTGTGTGCTAGTATAGCTATGCCAGCAGAGCCCTCCTGTGGAGATGCAGCATATTCCAGCAGCAATGCTGAATTTACAAACACAAACCTCAGACAGAGGTTTTTTGTTACAACTGAAATGATTTAAGGTTCAGAGAAGCAAGGCTGGTAGGTGGAAATTACATATTTTAATTGGACAATTTTAATTAGACAATAGAGTTGGGACAAACTTTTATGCACCAGAATATCTGCTTCACAATTATAATAGTTATCTACAACATTTCTCATTTGAATTTTTATCTGAAAATTGGCCTTGTCTCTTGTCTCAATTAAGCAAACCACTGATGATGCACATCAGCAAACACAGTACAGGAAACATAACACAGAGGCAAACACCACATTATCAGAATATATTGATTCTGTATTGGAGTCAGGATGATGAGTCAGGAACTGTGAACCAAGTCTGTTCAGTCTATTCTCCATATTCAGCCGCTAACTGCAAAAAGCAGGAAAATTAACTCGCTTAAATCATTAGCTCTTCAGTTTTGCTACCTGTGAAAGAAATGCCTGACAGGGACAGTCACCAGGTTCAGTTATTTGCAACGCATAATGTCAAAATGCCATAATTATTATACTATCAAAGGATTTGAATTGCACAGCATGCCTGACTCACACTTTTTTTTTTTCTTTTCCTCTTCATTACCTCACTGGTATATTCTGACCATAATGAGTCATGTTCTACAGTATACAATTTACCTCTTAATCATCTCTTAATGCTCAATCATTTTGGCCATACAGTAAGTTACAATACTTGTCATATTACTTGTAGGCTGTTTTGTGTTTGTTGACCAGAACTAAGACACTATTTTACATTTTTAGGAAGTAAAACTAAACAGTATTCCAGATTCTAGCCTAACATTTCAGCATACAAAAGCATGCTCTACTTAAGTTTTAAAACTTAACTTTGCCCATAATATATATAACTTGCCCTTATCTTACAGGAACAGGTGATGCTTACTTCATTTCTGTAATACAAAAAAAGTGAAAAGGGGAGGCAGACGAAAGGCACTGGATCATGAAAACAGCAAGGCTCCATGTTTCTTGAAAAGGATCAACATTTGAGAATATGCTAGTGACTAAGGATATGCTTGCTTAGGTAATGAAAGAATTAACAGAAAGTCTGTAAGAACCAAGCAGCACCTCAGTCAGCACCCAATTTGAAATTTGAGCTTAAGAATTGTGCCAAAATTTCAGGAACAGTTTAATTATAGCATTCTTTACACTTCCTTTCATCTTTTCTAAATTTCCAGAAATGCTTAGCCCTTATTTATGTAAGATAGAGAAGAACGGTTTCCATAGCAAACCAGAGTAATTAATTCTATGTATGCAAACGGACACAGGGACGAGCGTACAAACACACATCTCCTGGGCAGTAGCAACGTCCCTAAAGGAAGCAGCTGAACTTGTTCTTCTAATTGGTCATGAAATCCTGTGGTCACAGCTCCCAGGTATAAAGGACATTACCAAGATTTTGAAATTAGTGGAAATGTCCATCTTCTACAAACCTCAATCTATTGTGGGACTTCAGAAAATACTACTTGTCAGACACAGTAGTGTCATGTCTTTCAGAATGAAAAGTCCTGGGAAAAAAAAAAAAGGCACAAAAGGCACTCTCCACTTTTCATGTTACTAAAAATATTTTGTACCTGAGTGTTCTGCACTGCCATTTGAGAAGAGTAATTCTTAAACGCACATACTGAAGATGTGAAAGAAGGCTACAGCTGCCATTCCAAAAATTAACCATGATTCTCCAAACAGTGACAAACTCAAAGCCCTAGAGTTTCTGGGAAAGCATAGAAGTTTTTCAGAAACACTTAAGATACATGGTAATCATCACCTGAAACAACAAAAATATCACAGATGTAACAGACTTTCAAGTGAGAATGATAACCACAGGATTAGAATTTATCTCCTTGGCTGTTTAAATAGGGGGGCAAGATCCAGCCCTCAGAGCTGAAAGGCCAAAGTACTTGCTTTACAGAATTTGTTTTTCTCTTCTTCTCCACCATGAGAACATAGAATCAATGAACTCCTTTAACACAGCAAATCTCTACTGCCCACCCAGCGCACTAAATCCTCCCCAGCCACCTCCACGTGAATTCAACAGTGACAGGTCACTGCCTCTCTTCAGAGCTATGAAAAGGAGATATTAAAACCTGTCATAAAGACAATATACTTGGGCTACACTACAAAAATAGTTGATACGAACTGAAGTTTTCACCATATGACTGCTGTAAAGCTTCTCCAGGTGCAGTTTCAGGGAACTCTTGTGTGCAAGGCGGGGAAAAAAGACTTCTTGCTTCTCTCCACAGTCCCAATCACACATGAACTGTGGAGCAGACACAAAAGCTCATCCAGTGAACTTCTCATTCTGGAAGCTCAAGAGTGGAGTGGCACTTTGTCCCTCGTTCCTCTCCACCTTCCATCAGAGGGGCAGCTCCATTCCTCAATGCAATCCCTCATTTCCCCCATCCCACTCTCGCTTACAGCCTGCAGCATCTCTGCTCTGGCAGCCTTCAGAGGTGCTTTAAGATGGGAGAGAGGTCAAAAGCAGAAGTCACCTTCAGCCCTCCTTTTCCTGCTGCCAGGAAAAGAGGCTACGAAGGAAGCAGCACTCAAGCTCTGGGTTGCTTGCGTCTATTGAACACAAAACTGGGAGACCTAAGAATAAATAAAACCAGTGTAATAGTTAAATTACTGAGACTATTTAGATATTCAAGTCTTATCCGATAGAAAAACATAAGAAAGGAGACAGAAATGAGCACATGAAGGATCCAAGATACTAAATGTGTAATTTAGGAAAGGAATAAAGTCCATATGGACATGATCAGCT